CACACACACACACACACACACACACACACACACACACACACACACACGGGTGTCTGGATGGATGAATGGATATTTCTTCTGTTCACTGTTTACTTACCCATACCACTGCCTGGATTTAGGAATTTATCAGCTCTAGTCTGGACTATAGCAATAGCTTTGTTTCTTTCTAGGCAATGGGATTAAGTGACTTGGCCAGGGTCACACAGCTAGTTAAGTGTCAAGTGTCTAAGGCTGGATTAGAACTCAGGTCCTCCTGACTCCAGGACCAGTGCTCTATCCCCTGGGCCACCTTGCTGCTTTGCAATAGCTTTCTAATTGATTTCCTTGCCTCAAGTTTCTCCCCTCTACAATCCCCACAGCTACTAAATTGATATTCCTAAAATCAGTTACCCTGCTCAAGGAATTCCAGTTGCTCACTTTTGCCTTTAAGATCAAATATATAATACATATCTATATCTATATCTGTCTATCTACAGAAAGAGAGAGGCATAGACATACATATATGTATTGTGCTTGTATGTGTCTGTATATAGATACACACACACACACACACACATGCATACACATCACCTAGAACCAGGTTGTGAATGGCTTTAAATGCTAAAAGATGATAGATAGATACACATACATATACGTATATGCATAGATTACTTATATGTATATCTTTATAGCTTCTTACAAGTGATGTAATCTATGTCTACCTATATATATATATATATGCCTGTGTATGTATATCTATCATAGCATATACATAAAGTGTATGTATGCATTTGTATATCTCTCTGTAGTTATCTATCATCTGTTAGCTTTTAAAGCCCTTCACAACCTGGTTCTAGCCAACATGCATATACATAAATATGTATGCATATATACATACATGCACAATTCATACATGTATGTCTACACCTATGTATCTTTGTCTCTGTTTCTGTCTCTCTGTCTCTGCCTCTGTGTCTGTCTCTCTCTGTCTTTCTCTGTCTCTCTCTGTCTCTCTCTGTCTCTCTCTCCATTTGATCCTAGAGGCAAGAGTGAGCCACTGGAATTCCTTGAGCAGGGCAACTATGCTTTAGGAATATCAATTTGGTAGCTGTGTACAGAGTGGATTGGAATCGGGAGAGACTTGGGGCAAGTAAATCAATTATTTAAAACCCTTCACAACCTGGCTCCAGACAATTTTTCCTGGCATATTTCACATTATGCCACCTCATGTACTTTATCTTCCACTCAAATAGGGCTCTTCCTCAGTGTGTAGCAGTGCTTTTCACATAGTAGGCCCTTAATAAATGCTTATTCATTTTTACATAGACAAGTTATTCCCACTTTTTAATTTGATAAACATTTAATAATTTCTATTAATGAACAAAAGAATCAGCTTTGAAACTTTGGGTGCATTAAGCTGATTTTTCTTTTTTCTATTTCCCGGTTCCCTGGGCATTCAACAGACAATTAGACTCAAAAGTCTAAACAAAGTGTGTAAACTCCTGCTGATGTATTGTAAAAACACTTCCAAGTCTTGCTAAATTTGTATGTATAAGCATATAAATAATATATTATTTTCTTATTAAAAAGAAAGATCATGTCCAACATCTCGAGAAACATCAAACTGTCTGGTTTCTGAATTTTGGAGGAAGGATTATCCTCATTTTTTCAGGAGGGAAACTTAGCCGCTGCACAGTAACCGGAGGGAGGAGGACTGTAACGATCTACGTTGCCTCTAGGCTCGCCAGCCCAACTTGTTCAGCTAGATTGTTTGAAGTGAGGCAACCACTCCTCTTTTGCCTCACGGTGTTTTGTTTTGTTTTGTTTTGCTCCTAACCATTCAGGAAGATTGTTCAGCCATATGCAATATTTTCTCTTGATTTAAGCACTGATTACTAGATCCATAATTAATTTTTTTTAATGCTATTCTCTTTCAGGTCAAAATGCATACCTTGGAGGAGAGGGATGTTTTGTCAGTCTGGGTAGAAATGCAAGTGGAGAAACCGACTAAATTGGTTTTTGGCTCCCTATCTGACTTCACGATGCGGCCTCAGTGGGACCCCCATTACTTGTAAGAACAAAATGTTTTACCAAACTCTCTCTCTGACACTTTTTTTTAAAAAATCAACTTATCCTTCATGGTACATACTCAGACAGAGGTGAGAACTTGACTCTATCCCCTAACACATTGTTCTCTGCCTACTTAACAAGTATTTAATAATGGCCTACTTTAAGTAGAACTCTGTATCTGGAGTTTGGAATAGATACAAAAAACAAAAGATGGTTCCCTGCCCTTATGGAGATTATAATCTAATTGCCCTCATTCTATTCCTAAATTATCTTAGTATCATTCTTACTTCCCTACTCTAGGAGTTTGTTATTATGCTAAAAAAAAAATCATTCTCCCTCTTCCTTCCCCTAACTCAGGAAAATATGAGGAAGATGGTGACAGATGTTTGAGTAAACAGAACCATAACACTTATTTCCTCCTGTCCTCATTGACAACTACTCAACTGATTAATGTTAGCACTACTGTCACCCCATGACCAAGTTGTCTACTGTTTACCACCTGCCGTGATCCCAGGGACTTGGAGCACCCCACTGACCCTCCCCACCAATACACACCAGACTGTATAGTTGGGTACCCTGTGAACTATGCCGGCTGTGAGTACTTACATGTAAAGTCATACATTTTCCACACTGGAAATTGATGGCCCTAGGGTATAGGTTCCAACCACTCCTTTTGCACTATAGCATCATTTAGACATATATTGAATTTAGAGCCAGAAGGCCCCTTGGGGATCATCTAATACAGCCACCTCATTTTATAGATCAGGAAACTCAGGTCCAGGCTGATGAGTTAAGGTAATGCAAGTAGAGAGAAAATAATAGAACCAAGATTCAAACCCAGGTCTTCTGACTCTATGAATTTATGATTTTAGTGCCTTTTCTACTCTGCCATGCTGCCTTCACAGAAATCTTATTTAAATGTAAATATGGTAATGTGTGCTTCCTGTTTGGTTGGCAGGGATATTATTAGTGTTACATTAAATATTACCATTTATTTCCTAACCTTAATAAATTAGAGCTCCAATCTTTAAAAATTCTAAAATTCGCTGTAATTAACACCCTGTAATAGACAATTTAATACAATTAAAATGAAACTTCTCTAGGGTTGTGTGTTACATTTGCATGACTGCCAGAATAATACATCATGGTTAATGTCATCATAATGACCCACTGTGGGAAAAGGGAATGCTTTCCACACAACTCCCTTATGGAGGCATTTATGTGGGAATCTCTCCAAGTTCTCCAAGTGGCTCCTAGGAAGAATAATACCAGAAATTCTGTCTCCACTCATATCCCAATTACTCATACCAGAGAGCACCACTGTTCACTAGATATGCTGTGGTGAAGGTTGGTTTCGTCAATTTTTTAATGGAGTGCCTGACAAGGTTAGCCACTCTCTGAGCATCTCAGAACTTATCAAGATGACAAAAGTGATCTATAGAAGTATCTGAAGCTGAACTCATCATCTTCTGCTCAAAACCCACTCCCTCCTTTATATGACCTCCAAGATCCATTCTAGGATTACATTTACGATCCTTTGGTCCCTCTGACTGCCATCTTTTTTATTGGCTGTTACCGTCCCTTTATCACATTCCCCTCAGCAGTTTACCAAATTTTTCCCTTTGTCCTCAAGCTCCCAAAGTCACCCTCACCTATCAAATTCTCAGCAGATGACCTTGCCTCCTACTTCACTGAGACCAAGGCTTTTGGATATCAATACTTGCTTCTCCACATCGCATAACTCCAATGTCTTCACCCATCTTCTCTTTCCCTCCTGTCTCATTGGAAGAAGGGATCTACTGTGCCCCTGATCCCTCCCCTTTCTGCTTCCTTTGGAAGCTTTCTCCTTCTGTCACTGTTTCTCCTGCATAGTTATTTTTTAAAAATAAATTTTTATTCATGTCTTTTGTTTTGACCACCTAATCTTCCCCATATCCCTCTTCTCCCCATCTTAGAGGGTCATCTCATAAAACAAAGAATTTTTTAAAATAAAAAAGGAGGAAAAAAATCAGCAAAACTGATCAACACATTAAAAAAACTGACAATATATTCAATGTTCTACATGCATGGATCCCTTCCCTCTCCCATCTAAAAATGAGTTGGGGGAGGTGTCTTCTCAGAACTCTTCTTTTGAGTCATACTTGTTCTTTTTAATTGTATAACATTCATTTTTGAAATAAATTTTTATTGATATATTTTGTTTTTTATACCACTAGAATATCTCCCATAGTACCTTTCCCTCATCCCTCCCAAAAAGCCATGTCATATAACAATATTTTTGAAAATTGAAAAAAAAATGAAATACTGATCAATACATTTTTTAAAAATCAAAAATATGTGCAATGTAACAAACTCCTGGACATCTCACCTCTGCAAAGGAGAGGGATGAGGATGCATCTCATTTATTTTCTTTAGGAGCATGTTTGTTCTCTGTAATTTTGCAACATTCACTTTTGATTGTTTTGTGGTGGTTCATTCTATTTACATTGTTGTGATCATTTTGTATATCATTTTTCTTGTCTCTGCTTACTTCACCAGATAAGGCAAAGCTTACCATGTTTTTCTATATTTGTTGTTTCCATTACATTCATGTAGCACAATTTTGTGGGCAATCTATACTTTGCCCCAATGTACTTTGATTCCAGATCTTTGCTACCACAAACAAACAAGCAAAACCCAACCTGCTGCTATAAATTTTTAGTGTACATGAGGCTTTTCTTTTTATTATTGACCTCCTTGGGGCATTTGCCTAGAAGTGGAATCTCTAGGTCAAAGAGTATGGACATTTTAGCCAATGATTTGCATAATTCCAAATTGCTTTCCACAATGGTTATACTAACTCACAGCCTCACGACCAATGCATTAGTATTTCTATCTTGTCTCAATCTTCTCCAAAATTGACAGTTCCTCTCTTGACTTTACTACCCTTGATAATTTTCTGGTTTTCTGGTGAGTTATTTCAATTTGAATTTTCCATATTATTAGTGATTTGGTGCATGTTTCATACGGTTGGTAATAATTTTCAATTCTTTTAACTGTTTGTTCATATTGTTTGATTATTATCTACAGGGAAGATGAATTTTGGTTTTATAAATTTGTTAGATGTCTATGTATCTTAGATACCAACCCCTTATCCGAGAAATGTGATAGATTTTTTTTTCACATTTGACTGTTTTGCTCATTATCCTAGATGCGTTAGTTTTATTTGTGCTTTTCAGTGTCATGCAATGTAAATTATGTTTTATCTTAAGTAATTGCGTCTATCCTTTGTTTCATCAAGAATACATTCCCCACAGCTGTGAAAGGTATATAACCTGGCTTCTCTTTTAATTTTTACTGTCTGATCTTTAATATTCAGGTTTCCTGCATCTTTAATTTCTCCTTCTCCACTGGTAATTTCCCTTCTGCCTATAAATATGCACATATCTCCCAGTCCTTAAAAAAAAAAATCCTTCCCTTGATGCTTCCAGCTGCTTGAATTACTACTGATCTATTTTCCTTCTCCCTTTAACAGCCAAACTTCTTGAAAGGCTATTATACTCACTGCCTCCATTACCTCATTACCACTATTAGTCTTCTGGAGCTTGTGATTGGTTATTTCATTGCTCACAGTTCTTTAGTTTTTCAAAGTTGTTTTTCCTCCCAATATTGTAGTCATATAAATTGTTCTCCTTCTGCTCACTTCATTCTGCATCAGTTTGTACAAGTCATCCCTAATTTCCTTAATCCATCACTTCCATTGTTTCTTAGGGAGCAACAATATTCTGATTTATCTTCTTTTAAAAGAATTTTTTGATCCTGTCACTTTTTTGCTCTATACCATTTAGTGGTTCTTATCTCTTATAAAGTAAAATATAAACTCAGCTCAGCATTCAGGGCTCTTCATAATCTAACCACAGTCTATCTACCTTGTCAGCTTTATTTCATGATACTTTTCTACAATTATCATTTACTGTAACCAAACTGGACTACTTGCTATTCCCTAAACACAGCCTGTCCCATATTTTCTTGTGTCATTTCTTTCACCTGAAATGCCTGCCCTAACATCTCTTCTGCCTGTCAAAATTGTTCAAGGACCAGCTTAAATGCCATTTGCTCCACAAAGCTTTCCCTAATCCATCTCCTTCCCCAGGGAAAAAAAATGACCTTTTCTCCTGAACTCTCTTTTTATCAATTTTACTGGAATATAACATCCAGTCTTATATTTGTATACATATCCAATCTCTTCTCTTAGGCTGTAAATTCTTTGAAAGCAAGAACTATGTTTTCTTCCCTTTTGCATTTGTATTAAAGAGACTTCCTTTGATAGGAAAGTGAAGTGAGTTTTGCAGGTGAACATAGATGCTTATGGTTATATAGCAAACAACTTTGCAAAATATATTTTAACTGAGTGATATTTCTTGCCCACACCTTCTGAGGAGTAGATTACGATCATAAAGTATTTATTTTCTCTGTTCTGTGTACTTACAGGTCTTGTGAGGTCATAGACTGGGTGAGCAATGATGACACAATATATCATATCACCTGTCCAAAAGTGAGTAGCAGCAAACCCATAGATCTGGTTGTCCTTGTATCACGAAAAAGACCTGCTAAAGATAGGTGAGTATATGAAGTTACTAGATTATAAACTCCACGGGAGCAGGAGATGTGTGTTATTCATCTTGGTCTGCCTCACACCTAGGACAGCTACTTGAACAAAGAAGACGCTGAATTTGTGTTGAATTGAATCAATTTCAGGTCTTTAGAATCAGTGCATGGTAGTTAGAGTACTTGTATTTTAACCCTTCAAAGATCTGCAATTTCTTCAGTGTGGATACTCCCTCTACTAATGCAGAGGATAATTCCTTTATGCCTTAGTAAACAATCTTCATAAGTTGTGGCTAAAAAGTACATCACCATGAAGCCAATCTGGTGATGAACCACTTCTCTAAACACAGAGAGTCTGGTCCCCAGATGACAAACATAAAATCTGTCTCTAGCCCTGTACTTAACAGTCTTTGGAGCTTGGTGAATGGCACCAAAATTTGTATTCTCTGGCCATAGCCTTTGGGAACCCCAGAGATCAGAACAGGATTTTATTGAGTTTGAGTAGAGACCTATATAGTCACCTCCTCTCTTAATCAAAGACCTCCTGAAAGTTACTCCAGGTTCAAATAATGCTTTGAATCAGTATCTATACAAAACTATACCTCATAAGCCCACACAGGTAACTCTGTTATTGTACCAGTGAGAAGATGCACTAATTCAAAGGAAAAAAATTAAATAGCATAGTAAAATAAGTAAAAACAAATATTTATTGGGCACTTACCATGTGCCAGACACTGCAATAAATGCTGCAAATATAGATACAAGCAAAACGAAAAACAGTCCTTGCCCTCAGGGAGCTTACATTCCAATGAAGAAAGACAACACATAAAAGGGAGCTGAAAAGCAAGCTAAAGGGAAGGACTCACACGAGAGTATGGTGGCAAAGTTCAGAAATTCAGAAATAGAGCCAGGAGAAGGATGAAGACTAGGTAGTCCGGGCCCTTCCCCATCATGGAGGTCTTGGAAAGAACTCATCAATGAGGGAAGTAGCCTGTTCTAGGGCAGAGAGTTCAAACGTATAGGGCTGCCTGAGCGTTCAACACTTCTGAGTCCCGCCAGATCCAGGTTAACACGTAATTGGAAAGTATTTATCAAAATAAATAAAAACGCAATAAAACATAGATAATATTACATTTTAAAACTGTCACTGTGCAGCAGAAATCCTTATGTACATACTAGAGACGCCCATTTCTATTTGAGTAGGACATCACTCTTCAAGGGTAAGAAGGCTGCTGGGGAAGATGGATATTCCAGGATGAGGAGGCCTCAGGAGCTTAAGGAAGGTCCAGCAGGAGGCTGTTAGCTGAGGCATAGTGGCAAAGTCCAGAAAGTCAGAAGCAGAGCCAGGAGGGGAATTTCTCCCCCCAAACACACACAAGTGTATACTCTCCCACAGGTTCCCACCTCAGGGAATACCCATAGAAGGGGCATGTGTGTAAGAAATCCACGTGGAGAACACGCAGGGATCATCTGTGGGATAAGGAAATGTAGAGATAGCACTGATTTTGAATGATGCTCATGGAATTCTTTCTAGATGGGGCTCATTGCATAGATTCCTTATTATTGTTCAAACCTTTTCAGTGTCATTCAACATTGATTCCTCCTTAGAAATCCATTGAAACCTCCTTTGGGAAACAAACAAACAACATGTAACTAGAGCAACTCATGCTCCTGGGGCTGCATGCCTGCTAGAACCCTTCCATAGCTGTACTCCCACAGAACCGCTGCTGTCAGCTGCTGGCTGGTGATTAAACCGAGCTGTGGCTGTCTTTCTCTACTGCTGTTGCAAACTACTAGCATCTCCTGCTTGTCTAGTTTCTGCACTGTGCTGCCAGGGCCTGGTGTCTCTTCTGGGAGGCTTTCTGGTAGGTCTCACCTGCTGCTGGCTGCTGGTTGTTTGCTGAATTGCAGCTGCTACATGGCCTTTTCCCTCCATGAGAGTAATTTCAGATTGTTTAGGTCATAGCCCCAGAGTCTATCTCAGCTCTTGGAGATTAAGTTCTCCAGTCAGCCAAAGAAGCCCTCAGGTAGTGTTTGTCTTTTTAAATGCTTTTCTTCCCTGGTTTTGTAGGCAGGATGAGAAAATCTCCACTCCTTTGAACTCCCAGCAAACAAATCTCCTCAGGAGAGTCATCTAACCTGACTGAAAGTGACTGAGTAGGGCTGAAACCTTTTGCTGTTTTCCCACCAGAAAAGAAGTCCCACCTCCCCTTACTATACACACACACATACACACACACACACACACACAGAGAAATATGTGTGTATATACATGTATATATATGATCAATCAATTGATCTATCTATCCATCTATCTATCTATGTATGTATGAATACTGATTTTCAGTGGTATCCATAGAATTCTTTCTAACTGGGGCTCATTGCATAGATCCCTTATTGTACTGATCAAAAATTCTCAGTGTCATTCATCACTGATTCCTCCTCCCTCTCCTCTGTCTCAGTAGAAGAGGTGTTACTACTCTACGACAAGGTTAATCCCTCTGTCTATACCCTTGAGCCCATCCCATTCCTCTCCAGAAACTTATTCCAGCTGTTATTCTCATGCATCATCAATATCTCCCTCTCTGCTGATTCGTTCCCATCTGCCAACACACATTCTCACATCCCCTTACCTTCCCTGGACCCTTCTTTCCCATACAACCACAATTCCATTTGTATCTTCCCTTTCATGACCAACTTTGTTGAGGAAAAAAAAAAACCTACACCAGATGCCTCTACCTCAGTAGTTCTCAAAGGTTCATGGCAGCTACCTCAATATGTGACAGGAATTGAGTAGTAATTGAATACACAAGGGAGTTTCTAGATATTCTGGGGGTGTGCCATAATTCTTCATGGCAAAGAATAATACTGTACAGTGAGAGAAAAAACTTCTTCCTCTACTTCCTCGCCACTCATTCCTTTCTAACTCTTTGCATTCTGGATTCTAATCCCACTGCTCTTTCAAAAGTCACCAATAAACCTGGAAACTTCTTATCCAATGTGTGGGGTTTTTTTCATCCTCATCCTACTTAACCTATTTGTAGCATCTGACACAGTTAACCAATTCCTCCTGGACACTCCTTCCTTGGCTTTTGAGATAACATCATGCTCTTAGTTTTTCTCTTCTCTCTCTTAACTGCCCCTTCTCTGTCCCCTTTACTGGTGCCACATTCTCTTGCTGATGCCTTAAGGTGGCCATTATCCAAGGTGCTATCTTCAATTCCCTTCTTTTTCTTTACACTCCGCATTGACAAAACATTCATTTTCATAGTTTCCGTTGATTTCCCCTAACCTATCACCTCCAAATCTATATAATCCTAACATCTATCTTCCTGTGCTCCAGACTTGCAACTGTAGCTATCTCCAGAGCATTTTCACCTGGTTTTCTACCAGCGCCTCACACTTACAATGTCTAAAATTGTTTCCTCCAAAACTTCTGCTCTTCCTTCTTTACCCTTTTTGAAAATGGAACCATCATTCACCCAGTGTCCCATGTTCAAATGTTTTTGTTACCCTTGACTCATTCCTCTCCCTTATATTTGTTCCCTCCTCTCTTCTCTCACTAACACCATCTCAATACAGGCCTTTATTTCTACATCATGGATAGTGAAGCATGAGCCTAAAGTAAATATCTGTTCTGTATACTTTTTAAAAAAATATTTTATTTCATTATTTCTCAATTACATGTAAAAAAAACCAATCATTTAAAAAATTTTTGAGTAGCAATTTCTCTCCTTCTCTCCTGCCCTTCCCCTCTCTTTGAGAAAGCAAGCAATTTGATATCAATTATACATGTGAAATATCGCAAAATATATTTTCACATTAGCCATGTTGCAAAAGGAAATACAAACAAAATAAAATATAAAAATAAAGCTTTAAAACATATACTTCAATGATCATTCAGAGTTCATTAGTTTCTCTCTGGAGGTGGATAGTATTTTTCATCATGGGTGCTTTGGGATTGTCTTGGATTACTGTCTTGATCAGAGTAGCTGAGTCCTTCACAGTTGATCATTGCACTATATTGCTGTTACCAGTATTCTTCTGGTTCTGCTCACTTCACTTTGCATGAATTGATGTTAGTCATTCCAGGTTTTTCTGAAACCATCCTTGTCATTATTGCTTGTCATTATAGCACAATAGTATTCCATTACAATCATATGCCACATATTCAGCCACCCCCCAGGTGATGGGTATCCCTTCAATTTCCAATTCTTTACCACCACAAAAAGAGCTGCTATAAATATTTTTGTACAAAGAGGTCCTTTTCCCTTTTATTTGATCTTTTTGGGGTGCAGACCTACTAGTGATATTTCTGGGTCAAAAGGTATGCAGTTTTATAGACCTTTGGGCATAGATCCAAATTGTTCTTTCAGTTGGATCAGTTCACAACTCCATCAATAGTTCATTAGTGTCCCAGTTTTTCCACATCCCCTCCAGCATTTGTCATTTTCTTTTTCTGTCACGTTATCCAGTCTGTTAGGTGTGAGATGGTGTCTCAGAGTATTTCAGAGTTGTTTTAATTTGCATTTCTCTAATGGGTAGTGATTTAGAGCATTTTTTTCATGTGACTATTGATAGTTTTGATTTCTTCTTCTGAAAATTGCCTGTTCATATCTTTTGACCATTTGTCAATTGGAGAATGGCTCTCATTTTTATAAATTTGGCTCAGTTCTCCATATATTTGAGAAATGAGAGAAACTTTATCAGAGAAACTTGCTATAAATTTCCCATTTCCTGTTTTCCTTCTAATTTTGGCTGCCTTAGCTTTGTTTGTGCAAAAAGCTTTTTTAATTTCACATAATCAACATTATCTGTTTTGCTTCCCATAATCCTCTCTATCTCTTGTTTTGTCATAAACTCTCCCTCATTCATTGATCTGACAGGTGCCTTTTCCCATGCTCTTTAATTTGCTTATGGTATCACCCTTTATGTCTAAGTCATTCTCCATTTTGACCTTATCTTGGCATACAGTGTGAGATATTGATCTATGTCAGTTTCTACCAAATTGCTTTCTAGTTTTCCCAGCAATTTTTGTCAAATGTTGAGTTCTTACCCCCAAAGTGTAGATCTTAGGGTTTACCGAATACTAAATAATGACGATCATTTGCTACTGTGTACTGCATATCTAATCTACTCCACTGATCCACCACTTTATTTCTTAGTCAGTAACAGATTGTTTTGATGATTACTGCTTTGTAATGTTTGAGATCTAAAACTGCTAGGCTGCCTTCCTTCACATTTTTTTTTCATTGATTCCCTTGATATTCTTGACCTTTTGTTCTTCCAGATGAATTTTGTTACTATTTTTTCTAGCTCTATAAAATAATTCTTTGGGTAGTTTGATTGGCATGTCCCTGAATAAGTTAATTAACTTAGGTAGGATTGTCATTTTTATTATATTGGCTTGAACTACCAATGAGTGATTAATATTTTCCAATTGTTTAGATCAGTCTTTATTTGTATACAAAGTGTTTTTGTAATTGTGTTCATATAGTTCCTGGGTTTGTCTCAGCAGGTAGACTCCCAAGTATTTTATATTGTCTGCAGTTATTTTAAATGGAATTTCTTTTTCTATCTCTTCCTCCTGGGTTTTGTGGGTAATATATATAAATGTTAATAATTTATGTGGATTTATTTTATATAATATGACTTTACTGAAGTTGTTAATTATTTCAGCTAGTTTTTTAGTTGATTTTCTAGGGTTCTCTAAGTATACCATCATATCATCTGCAAAGAGTGATAGTTTTGTTTCCTCATTGCCTATTTTTATTCCTTCGATGTCTTTTTCTTGTCTTATTGTTTCTAGTGTAGTATCAAATAGTAGTAGTGATGATGGACATCCTTGCTTCACTCCTAATCCTTTTGGGAGGCTTTAAGTTTATCTCCATTATAGATAATGCTTGTTTTTGGTTTTAGATAGATACTACTTATCATTTTAAGAAAGGCTCCATTGATTCCTATGCTTTCTAGTGTTTTTAATAGGAATGGGTGTTTTATTTTGTCAAGGACTTTTTCTTCATCTATTGATACAATCATATGATTTTTTGTTGTTACTATTATTGATATGGTTAATTATGCTGATAGTTTTCCTAATATTGAACCAGTCCTGCATTCCTGCTATAAATCCCACCTTCCACCTCTCTACCCTATACAGAAGAGAAAATGGGCTGAGGTTGTAGAATGGAATATTTATGTTACATAGAGGAATTTCTTGAAAGAGTCCCAATTACAGGAACATCTCCAAAAAAAATTATAAAATCTTCTGCTCCACATGCCTTTAAAAATAAGATAGAGGGGCGGCTAGGTGGTGCAGTGGATAGAGCACTGGCCCTGAAGTCAGGAGGACCTGAGTTTAAATCTGGCCTCAGACCAAACACTTGACACTTACCAGCTGTGTGACCCTGGGCAAGTCACTTAACCCCAACTGCCAAAAAAAAAAAAAAAAAAGAGTCCCATTTGGCCCTACTTTCAGTTAGTATGTTCAGACATCTCCCTTCTCTAGGAGAAGGAAGCTGTCACTATTACTTGTTAATGTGTCATAGTCGAGATCCATTTGTCATTTTTTTAGCTGTTTTATTTCAATGCCAAGGCCATGAACTTTAGGTTAGAACCAAGATTCTGAACCTTACATAATGAATTTTATCATGACCCTTCCCTGGAGGGCATTGCTGCAAATAAAAGTTTCTTTGCTCTATTACTAGGCAGAGTTGCTTTTTCGTACAATAACAGGCATAGAAGGCAGACAAGACGTTTATTGGCCTTTCTGTGATAGCTATGAACTCCATATAAAATTCTTTGTCTCATTGTAAGTAAAGCAAACTCTTACTAGACCAGAGTTTTCCAAGTGTTCATGTGATCAATACTTACTATCTTTTGTCTATAAGTATTGTAGTTGTGCTTTTCTTTCTCTGTAGATGAGAACTACCTCATGCATGTTTTAAATGGAGATGTGGCTTTTATAAAAGAAGTTTGTGATGGGGGCAGAAATTAATCAACAAGAGACAAAATAACAGGTCTCCTGGTGGCAGCATGTAGTCATGGAAAAAGCCTTAGATTTGAAGGTGCAGAACCTGGGCTCAAGTTCTGCATCTGAGGTTTCCTTGGTGACTTTAGGCAAATCACTTAAACTCTTGGAGCCTCAGTTTCCTCATCTGTAAAATGGGCCTGATAACAGAGTGATTAGAGGCAGTGGTGAATAGTGGATAGGACACTGGACTCACATCTGCTAGCTGTGTGACCCTGGGCAAGTCACTTAGCTTTTCTGTGCCTTAATTTCCTGATCTGCAAAATGACAGGATTAGTTCTAATGGTCTTGAAGATCCCTTTTAGCTCTAAATCTATGATTCTATGTCCTCACAAGAGTGTTGTGACACAGTCATTTGTGAACATTAGGTGGGAGATCTTATTGGTACACAAAATAGGGAGCCAGTATAACACTGGGAATAGAGTGGCAGACTTGGGCTCAAATCCTTTCTCAGACAATTAATTACTAGCTTGTGTGACCTTGGGCAAATCACTTAACTCTGATCTGCCTCAGTTCCCCCATCTGTAAAGTAGAAATAAAAAATAAGACCTACTTTACAGGATTGTTACGAGGTTCAAATAAAGTGATATATGTAAAGTACAAACCTTAAGGTATTATATGAATGTTAGTAACTGTAAATGGTCTGGAGGCAAGGCAGTATGAACAAACAAGAAATGAAGGGAGAAGAGCCTGAGAAAGATGATAAACTGAACTAAGAGGAGGCTCTGGAGGGAGTATCTTAGAGAAGGTGACCAAGGTGGCTGGCTCTAGCGGAAATGGCAAACGCTGGACACAGGGGGCATTCTGCTTGAGGGCTGCTCCAGGGATTGTATCTATGATGGAAAGGCCATCCAGAGAATAAAATGGAAAGGGCTGTTGGACATCTGCCCAGGTGGTCATTTTGCTTACAATCACCTGGGAGTCTGAGAGAATATAAAACCATTTTCTTAAATCTTTCTTATCAAAATGAGGAGGCCTCCAGTGAGAATGTCATTGAAAGGGGAAGGCAAAAGTACAGATTTAAAGGGGAGAAGGTGTAGTGTGCAGAGAAGAGCTTGACTCGGACAGAGACAAAGCAGCAAGGATGAGAGTAGACGAGACAGATGGACAGATACTCTAAGCTCTCTCCTGTTTTTCATTTAAACAAACACTAAAGGGGCAGCTAGGTGGCACAGTGGATAGAGCACCAGCCCTGAGTTCAAATCCTGCCTTAGACACTTACTAGCTGTTTAACCCTGAACTACTCACTTAACTTTGACTGCCTACAAAAGCAAAACAAAAACAAATAAATGTTTGGGAAAGTGGCAAGGCCATTTAAGAATTGCCTAGGATGCTCTTGGCTTGTGCTGTCCCCCTACATCCTTCTCTAGATTCCATCTGTTTCCTCCCTTGCCTCACATTTATACGTGAGCCACTTATGTGTGGTCACTTAGGAGCCCACTACTTATGGAGTAGTGGAACAAGCTTAATCCTAAGGGGTGGGCAAGAAGGAACAGAAAAGTTTAATAAAGACAACCCATGGGCAACAGGAATAAAAATTAAACTGAAAATTGCCTATGCCTAAACAGCAGTATCTAGGTAGAAAGGCACAAAATATTTGCAGTCCCTTTCCAAAACACTTCTTTCACCTCTATCAATACTTCATAAATTTGAATGTGCCCCCTCAATAAAGTTCCCATAGAGATTGCTGATCTAAAAAATCAGGGTCTTGATAGAAGCTACAGGTTGGAGTGAAAAGAACATTGGATTCAAGCCCTGACAGTTCAACTCCTAGCTCTGAAGTTTATTAGAAGTATGACTAGACAAGCTCTTTGATTTCTTCAAGTCTCGGTTTCCTCCTTTGTAAAATAGAGATGATTATATTTAGCCCTCCCTTGCTATATATAGGGAAAGTGCTTGCAAACCCTCAAGAGGTAGGTATATGACAGTCTGTTTAAAGTTTTGCTTCTCTCCGAATGAGATGGCCCCTGCTGTACTAGGTTTGCTTTGTAATCACTGTCTTTTTGCTCAGACATAGTCTTAATTTTCTGTGACAACTGAGGAAGCTTCCTTTCCTCCTCCAGTAACACTTATGTAGTAGCAATGAAGTCCATCACCCTGGCATCTGTCCCACCTTCTCCGCAGTACACCAGAAGTGAGGTCGCAAGTGCAGGATTCCTGATACAGGCTGTGGACAGCAGCTCCTGCACGGTGAGTTTGCTAGAACATCTGCTGATCTGTTCTGCTTTTGGGAGAGCAGACACAGAAAAATCTCCTAATTCAATTCTGCAATAGAGGGAGGGCAGGCTTAAAAATACACTCAAAGTTTGAAAGACCTAAGAACTCTGACCAGCTCAGTAAGCAACCACAATTCCAGAGCACCCACAATGAAGCTTGCTATACTTCCTCCAAAGAGGCAGTGGACTCAGAAGGCAGACTGAGGCATATTTTTTTGACATGGGCAGTGCTGGAATTTGTTTTGCTTAACTGTGCACATTTGTTTAGAAGGGTATTGCTTTTACTTTTTTTTTTCTAATTGGGGGAGGTAGGAGGAAAGAAAATAGACTTTTGCTAATTGAAAAAAATTTAATAAAAAAATTTGTTTTCAGTGACTTATGGATCTTGGTCCTAGAAGCCTGAGACTTACCCCTTGAGATCTATCCCAGAACTGATTCAGAAATTGACCATAAGGGGTCAGTTTATGGCCTCATCCCCATTAAAGAGATGCAAACCCCAACAAGATGTTCTATGTTAAAAAATTTCCCATTTTATAAAAGTCCAGTTTAAAAATATATATGTGTATATATATATATGTGTGTGTGTGTGTGTATATATTTTTCTTTCTTTTTGTAATAGGTATCATACCTGAATCAAATTTCTTCTAGCACCCTACCTTATTTTGCTGGAGATATTGGTGGCTGGTCAAGCACCATTGAGGAAACAGCTACTTCATGTATCCAGTTCATAGAAGAAGCAACTAATGACAGATTTATCAACAAATAATATTTTAAATAGTCCAGCTCTTAATAGACCAGTCTGGTCTGTTTGTGAACTATCCATTTTGTGTATTACTCGCAGCAGTTTTTGATTCTGAGCCCACTTTCCCCTGGCATCCACCAGGCTTGTGGGCCAGTGAACTAATTTTTATATTAGCCTAAGTAAAATGGAAACATGGAGATGCTGACATAGCCCTCAAAAACCTAGGATCATCTCAGTGTCACAGTGAGGCACCAGAGTGGATCTTTAGTGGAGTGTACATTTCACAGTCAGGTTTAAATGATTGTTCATTTGTACGCTGTGCTGGATCCACCATGCCCCTGCTCCCCTCTGCTGGCTTGGATAACTGAGAGTTGACTGTTATGTGGTATTTTATATATTATGTAAATTGATATGGAAGCAGGAAAGGTGCTCTTAAAATTTTTTTTTATTTAAAGAACTAAATGGTCGTAACAGTGTGACTGGTGTGCAATTTACATCTTTGGAAAACCTGAAATGAAGACTGGTTAGAAACTGAATAGTTGATTAATAGGATGACATTGTTTCATGGGAACAGCAGGTGCCTGTATGTCAGAAGCATCTGACAAGATGTATTACACTTTTAGAGCTTGAAATTAGGAGGACATTAAAACATAATGGAATTCAATCAATTTCAGTAATAGGAACTACTTACTGGTGTCATTTAATATATATTCAAGGTGGCTGATCAATTTAGTATCTATTGCTATATATACATGTGAAGTACCTGCAAAATGTGATATCGAGAGGTAAAAGAACATTAAGTGAACTCTTCTTTCAGAACTATTACATTAGCACTTTATTCTTTGACATTCATTCTTCTACTCTAGCTATCCATGAATTGGATTGGTCCTAAAGGCAAATCAGCATTTTGCAGGTGAGCCTCCTCTTTGGGGCCATCTTTCTGCAGTCTAAAGAACCATTTCCCTGAGTTCACTCAGGTTCTTATGAAGTCAGGGCTCTCTTCTTAGCATCCTAACACTGTTGGCCACCCCTGCCAATCCTCCACCCCCTCACACCTTCCCGATATAAACTTGTTCTAATTTTTTTGTTATCATTTTCTCTTAGCATCTCTAAAATGGGGTTTTTATAAATAAAATCTAGAGTTATCCAAGGCTGTTTTTCTGGATTCATTAAAAAAATGAAATAGTGACTATAAAGACTAAAATCACTGTACACATGTTAAATTCAGGAGAAAAACAAAATTTAAAAATGACATATAGAACTATAAACTTAAAGTAACTTAAAAATGTTTTTCAAAAATTTTAACTAAGTTTTTTGCATTACTTCTTGATATAAGGAAAAATGTAAGCTTAGTAATACAAGGGCAGTTAGACCACAAATTTATATTGCAGTATTTTTTTTAGCCCTCTCATACTGTCAGATGGCCCATATGACTGAGATTTCCAAATACTGTCTGCTTGCCCTTAACAACAATATGGTGTTTGGGTTTGCACCTCCTGAAGCCTTTTCAAGACTGTAAAAGTTTGGTTAGTTGTACGGTATGGGTCCAGCTTGATATTTCTCAGATGTAAAGATGCTGTCAATTCTAGTCTTTAATGAAGTCCTTAGCAACAAAGGATGGCCCCCTCCTTGTGATTTTGAGGCCAAATCAGAACCTTCCTAGTCATTCAGATCCTAAGCTCCTCATATCCCAGACAGAATCTCTTCTAGTTTTCTTTCTGTCCCCAAACAGTGAAAACTATTCTTTTTTATTCTTTTTAAAGAACTTTATGTTTATAGCTCCAACTGGATCCTTCTCAGGAAGGTTCAGGATGGACTTAAGCTGAAGGACCCACTTTTTAATATCAGAAGAGTTTAATAAAGCACTTAACCTAAGGTGCCTAATGCAGGAACTAGTTGAAAATCAAAGTACACAGCACCTTTCTTTTAAGGTTTTTGGTCATATAATTATGGTAGTAACATGAGTCACTGATTTTAAAGAGTCCCAGCAGAGATAAGTAACAGTGACCACTGAAGGGACCATTTAAAGTGTGCTCAAAATGCTTTGCTTCCTATGGTCTTAAAACAGTGTTACGACACAATAGTAAGTCATACTAGTGGTATACTTCAACAGCTCTAACTTTCACATGTTCTCTTCTTTTCATTGGTGCATGCTTAAAATCTGTGCCATCCCCATCCCAAAGTCCACAATCTCAGCAGACAACACAGCTCTATAGGCATTTAGATACCCATCAGTGGTCCCCACTGAAACCCAAAAGGGCAGTTGCACCTCCTTAAATTATAGGTTATTACCTTTTAGGATTTCAGATAGCAGCAGTCCTGGATTTAATGTCTGTCCTAATTATAGGAGCCTTTCCTAACCTGACACTAAAAGCTTTTTGCTTGAGGCATGTCATTTCTGGTATTTCTTCTTGGTTCTTAAAGCAACTAAAATTTCTGATCTTCTGGACACCTAATTCCTCTACTCTCTGCCAAGTGGACTAAGTTGCTATGGTCTGGTATTCTTGATCTATGTTTTCTGTGGCTCCTGGATGTTGTTCTTGGATACCTGCTTGTGCCAGTGCTAATGGTCTGGTTAGTGGCTTTCATCTACTAGCTTGCTTTGCAATGTAAGCAGGGATGAAAATTATGACTTCAAAAAAATCTGATTCTCAACTAGCCATGTTATGTTTCCCCAAGTATAACGGATAAGAGAAATGAATATGATGATTTGTCTTTTTACATGCATTCAATGACCTTTGACCAATGAATTTTAGTAAAATGAAAAACCAGTGTATTCCTATGTTCATTGATGTCTATAGCCATATTCAGATGGTTTTGTTAATGATTCTCATTGTGCCTGTCTCTGATCTCACTCCACAGCTCTCTCTAAGGATTACCAATGGTCTCTTAATTGTTAAATCTTAAAGGTCTTTTCTCAGTCCTAGATCCTTCTTCATCTCTCTGGAGTATCTGGTATTGTTGACCATCCCCTCTTCCTGAATACTCTCTGAGTTTTCAAAACCCTTCTTCTGTTCCTTCACTTACCTTTCTTCACTTATCAATCTCCTTTAATAGATGGTTATCCAGCACCCAGAATCATTATAAACTCATAATAAATTTGGAAAACCTTACTGGTATATATTCCTGAAAATATACATACACACACACATACTTGAAAAAGATAAAGTTTTTGTGTAGGATAAATCATTAATGTTATAAATAGCCTCTGAAACTTGAAATTGACCAGTTATAGAGCCAAAAGCATCAGTCACTTAAGAATAACAGACTTAGGCAGAAAGTTCAGGGACCACTATGTTGGCAAGCAGACAGGAGGAACAAGCTATGAAAGCAACAAGTTTATAAATGCTATCTGACCCCTCTTCTTCTCAAAATAAAGTCATAGTCACATTCAGCCGTTCCATCTTACTTGAAAAAGATCCCAAAGATTTCCTCTTTCCACTATTAGATTGCAAGGTCCCTGAAGACAGGGCGTAATACTTTTCATATTTATCTTCTCAAGTACACGTAGCAGGTGATTAGTAGCTGGTCAAACTGAATTAGCATGCATGTATATTAAACCTTAAGGCCACAAAAGACACGACAAGTTGAAAACACCCTTCCCTCCAGCTAAATTTTCCTTTAGCACTTCATTATCAGCCTAACCTTCCTCATTATCCTTTGCCAATGAATGAGTAAGACTATTAGGCAACTCAGAGTGCTAAGCCATGGAGATATACATTCTAAAGCAAGAGCAATCCCTGTGCTCCAAATTGTTTCCAAGGCCTGTCAATTTCACCTTTGTGACATGTCTCAAATATGGCCCCTTCTCTCCTCTGACATTGCCACCACTTTGGTGCAGGCCCTTCTCACCTCACACCAGGATTACTACAATAGTCTCTCCCCACTCCAATCTCTTCTCCATTCAGCTGCCAAAATGATATGCCAAAAACATTGGTCTGACCATGTCATTCCACTAACTCAATAAACTCCAGTTTACTGCTTCCCACTAGTTATGCTATCAAACTGGACATAAGAATACTGGATTTGGAGTCAGAAGACCTGGATTCAAATTTTGGCTCTGTCACTTACTAGATGTGGGACCTCAGGAAAATCATCATGTGTCTGCTTCCTAATCTGTAAAATAAGGATATTATGTATTGTCTACCAGTGCATGGAAATATGAGGATAAAATGAATAAATAAAAAATAAAATAAAATGAGTAAAACTTGAAAGTGTCACATAAATGGGAACTATGATTATTAGACTTTTGACCCATTGTCATTTCTTGCCCAGACCTAGCTCATTTACCCCAATTCTTTAGGTTAATCCTTTGCTGTCATAACAACTAAATGGAGAAACATGGTTTATTTTAACCATTTGAATATCATGTCTAAGTAATATGCCTATCTATCTCAGCATTTGGAATGGCCCAGGGGATTTTGTAGGGTTCAGGTATTTGCTACTGAAGTGGTGAGGTAGGCCTCCACTCAAGTCCTCCTCTGAGAGCCCTCAGTTCTCCAAGGCAATGCCAGCAAAACCCTAGCCCTGGCACATCTCACAAGCTGGAAAGGTTAGTTCTTGGATGGCAGACACTTAGTCCATCTATCAAGTGGTTCATCAATCACCAGTTGGTCACAAATGGGGAAATGAAATTTTTTCAGGCCTCAGAAACAGCCTGAGCTAAGGCAAAGGAGATTATGATCTGAGTCAGCAGCAGAAGTATTTATACTAGCAATAACAAAAAAGAAATCATAGATCATTGAGTAGCTATTATCAGAACTTGACGCAAGGACATGACTTTAGTTCAGACTCGGCCACTAACTGGGTAATCCTAAGCAAGTCAATGCAACACATGGAGATAAAAGGTGTTAAAGACTCCAAGAATTTGGGCTGTTACTATTGAGTCATACTCTGGACTTCAGCTTCCTCATTTGGAAAATAAGGGGTTGAGTTATTTGACGTTTAATTGTTTCATTAGACTGTAAGTTCCAAGGATGGGGAGCAGTAGCAGTATTTAATCACTTGTATTTCCCCTTTGCATGCACAAAGCACTTAATTCTGAATT